GGGAATATAAAAATAAAATTTATTATATAAAAAAAAAAAAGAATGTCAAACAGAAGATGGCAGATTCTGTTTTCCGACCTTGGTGTGGCCAGACCTCTGTCAACATGGTTGATGGGGGCCTCAGGTTAAGTCTTGGTGCTGGGACAGGAGGGCATGGTCACTTGCAGTGGTCCTGGAGGTGAAACTTGGGCATTAAGAGCAGGTATTGAAAACAACAGAGCTACTGTCCTCTGGAACCTTCAACAACGAGCAAGGACCTTCAACAACGAGCATCTCATAGTTACAACCATATACCAAGGACCCCAATTTTCCTGGATTGAATAAACCCCACAATTTTTAAATTATTTACTGAAATATAAAAGTGATGGGTCTCCCTACCCCTCCTGATGGAAGAAGGGCCGAACTGGAATTAAAATATAAAGAAGTGACAACTTTTATACCCGGTATAGAGTATTAAATCCATACTTATGCCTTCCCTTCTCTCATCTTTTAAAATATTTTATTTATTATTACATAGAACTGGGGTGTAGGCTATGAGTGCAGGGGTGGGGGTGAAAGGATTCACCAGAGATAGAATGGGGAGCAGAATAGGCAGATCTACTGAAATACATTGCTGGGGGGAGCAGCGGGTGAGACAGGAGAAGTCTGCTGTGCCTTGTGGGTCAGCGCCCTGGCCGGATATCGAACTAGGTTGCACTGGTGATAGCACTGAGACTTATTAACCCCTAGGCCACCAGGGCCCTCCCTTTTCTCATTTATTTTCATTTCCTAACTGCTGCAGCTTCCATTTTGCTACAACAAAACAGAAAGAAAAAGTTCAGGAAGTCTCAGAGAGACTTCAAGGACATCAAAATGCATGGAAATATAGCAGGACACGGGTATGAATTCTTCCTCCAAAACGTAGCTTTTCCTATATACAGCTGTAACATAGTCGTAACGACAGCAAAATTCTGAGGTACTAAAAACCGTAAGATTAAAAGCTGAGAGGAGGTCTGCTATAATTCAGTGTTACTGAAGCACACAGCTGCAGTTGCAAAGCTTATGTTATAAGGATAGCATTGTGATCTGGCCCCAGCAGAACCTCAGCTACTCAATCTCACACAGGTCAACTAAACCTGAGGGTAATATTTGTCTAGGTGTCCAGAAGCATTTCTATTGTTGGGAGATTGGTCCTGATGATATTTAGATAGAGATTTTAATCTGTGCTCTACCATGCTCTGTAGATTCACACTCTACGTAAGACCAAAGTTTAAAATTAATCGTCAAATTCTTAAGGCTATGTGTCTTCAAAAGGTGACTCTGAAGACTTTAGGAACATGTCACATCCCTTTGTTGCATTGAAATTCTCCTGAATCACCTGAACTAAAAGGAGCTTTTGGAATTTACTTTTTGTACACCTGAGCTTTGGAATTCATTTTTTTGTACACAAGATTTTTGAGAGGTGAAAATTACTTTTAAAATAATTGATAAAAAAATTAAGGCCTCCCCGGTGGAACAGCAGGTAGAGCGCAGCTCTGTGAAGCTGTCCGCAGCCTCTGCAGCGCAGGTTCAATTCTTAGCCAGCCAGGGAGATTCCCACATGGGTGGTGATCTCTCCTGTCATGCCCGTTGCTCCCTTCAGCAGTACTTTCGGTTGTCTGCCTGTTCTGCTTCCTACTCTATCTCTGGTGAATCTTCTCATCTTCCAGTGCCTCTGGCTACTGTATATTATACCCCAGCTATTGTATATTGTACCCCAGCTATTGTACAAATAAAAAATAAATCTTTAAAAAAAAATTTATCAGGCCTCTTTGGTGGCTCAGGCGTTTGAGCGCCACACGGTGAAGCTGTCCACAGCCTCTGCAGCGTGGGTTTGATTCATGTCGGCCGGGGAGGGTCGCACATGGCGCTGCAGAGCTCTCCTGTTGCTCCCGCTGCTCCCCTCAGCAGTGTGTTTTGTCACACACTGCTGTTCTGTTCCCCACTCTGTCTCTGGTGAATCTTCTCACCCTCCCGTGCATCTGGCCCGTACCCCAGCACTTGCATAAATTAAAAAAAAAAATTTTAATTTTTTTTTTTTAATCTAAAGTTAGAGTATATTCAGAGTTTTTAACTTTGGGTATTCCTTTTATATACATACCAATCTGCAAAATACGTTTTTTGTCTTATATTTTTTTGAGTATGAAACAAAATTGTCTCAATTAAATTGGGAAGCATTTCACATTATGTGATAATTTGGGAGGTCTATTTGTTCTGTCTCCAAAGGAATATCAAAGGGCCATTAGGGGATGTCTATTCAATTTCAAGAGCTTAGCCTGGGGACAAAATGTCAGTTCCTGGAAGCTTGAAGGATGTTTGCCAGTCTTACATCCAGTCTAATGATTTTTTATAGTTGTTCTTTGAACCAAAAAATAATTCACATTAATTTCTGTTTTTCTTGTTGCCAATTATAAAATGCTCTTTTGTACTCATTCTAGTAGCTACACCTCCCCCTTCTCAATTATCACAATTTCTTTTTCACCTCTCCCACCCCCACAATTCCCATAATTTTAGAGTCGACTACTAAAATTTCTTCTAGATTCAGACCCAGAAGTGAATTTTGGATGGTAGGAGATTAAAACTTTTTATACTGCTTTAGATAATAAAGCTACTCCCTTCCAAGAACTCAGAACATTCAAATGATCTTGTTTTAGGTTTAGACATGGTTGCTAAAATGTGAGTATTATGTGAAAAGTTTCTGGATTCTTGGCTTCATTAATTGAGACATTAAATTAGTTTTCTATTGCTGCATAAAGAATTATCACATAGAAGCTTAAAACTGCTTCTACTTATTATTCCACAGTTCCCTTGGTCAGAGTCTACAACAGTATGGCTGGCTTTCTGCTCAGGTTATTATAGGCTGAAATAAAAGCCGGGATCAATAAGTGTCTGGAAGGTCTGTGAAGAAATCCACCTCTAAGCTCATTCATGCCATTGGCAGAATTCATTCATTGCAACAAAATATACTGTCATCCTGTTTCCTTGCTGTTAGTCGAGGGTCTGTCCTATTGCATATGCCTTCTACGGTAGTCCCTTGTATCTTCAAGTCAGGAACAGCTCGTTGAATCTCTCTCAACTCTCTTTGAATATCCGATTTTCTTTTTTTTCACTGGGGAATCTCTGCTTTAAATTATGCCCATCCAGATAATCAACCTATTTTAAAGCCAACCATGCCACTAAGTATAAAATAAATCACAGGAGTGACATTGCATCATATTCATGGGTTCTGGTGATTTAGGGTAGGACAGCTTTGGGGAACCACTAAAAAAATTCTGTCTACTATATATAGGAATCACAAGGAGAACAATAAAATATTAACTGGCAGCAAAGATTCATCCTGGGTCTACATAGTATAAACAAGGGAATGATAGTTTCTAATAGCAGCCTTGCTACACTAGCACTGCATGAAAACACTACCTAATTGTCTAAATTCTCAGGGAAAACAGAAACTGTGATAATAAATTATAGAACTTGAAAAATGTGAAATGTGATAGTTAATTCCTTCATACAGGCCTTTCTTTATGAAATGTTTGTGCCACACTAGCTACTACTTGCCACATTTTATTTGTCAATTGCAAGTATGAATCATTATAAGTGACTCTCCCAAGTGATTTTAGCTAATAATTATATTTACTTAAAAATCATTAAAAATTTTTAAAACTTTTTTTGAGGGACAAAATGAAAAACTTTAGTGCAAGTATTTTCTTTTGAAATGTATTGCTTGCGGGCCTCCCTGGTGGCGCAAGGGGTTGAGACGCAACCTATGAAGCTATCCGCAGCCTCTGCAGCACAAGTTCGATCCCTGGCCAGCCAGGGAGCTCCCCATATGACGCAGTAGACCTCTCCTGCCTCGCCCGCTGCTCCCCTCAGCAGTGTATTTTGGTCAATCTGCCTGTTCTGCTCTCCACTCTGTCTCTGGTGTATCTTCTCACCCCCTACGCCGCTGGCCTTTACCCCAATTCTTGTATGAATAAATAAATCTTTAAAAAAAATGTTTTGTTTGCTTCTCTACTTTCTTAAACAGGAGGTAATGCAAACATGTTCAACATTTTTGAATAATAATAGTAAATACTAACATTTATTGATACTTATGGTATTCTGATCACTCATTATCATAGTTAAAATACTTATGATTATATATATATGTAGGGTGGACATTGTTAGTTTGTTTTCTATTTCTTTAATCAGAATTTGAGTTATTTCTTCTTGGTTATTGTTTTGACTTCTAATGACATTTTACTATGCCATTTCTGACTTATTTCTTAAGTTGAAAATGGGCTGGAAAACTAAGTAACAAAGTTTGTAAGAACTTCATGTTAAACTAGAGTCAAAATTGAGCGGGAGATTACAAACAGCAAATGATATTCCATGCAGTGTACTAAAAGCTTCATATCCCTGCTCTTCAAACAATCCTACTGATATTTCTATTACTCCATTTTAGAGATTAGGCTGCTGCAGCTGCAAGAAATGAATCCTGTTCAGAGTTATCCAACAAGTATTAGGCAAAGTCTTATTTGTTAAAATTGTAATTGATTTCAAAAATGATGTTTTGAAAGATTAAAAAACATTTTATCATTACCACTAAAAAAGTCAGGAAATGTTATAGCTTTTTCACATTTTATACATTCGTTAAATTAAAGGAATTCTGTAAACAGACAAAAAGACTGAGCTTTGGTGGTAGAGGCAGAAACTCTGGAGAGGATAAGAAGCCTCCACAGTTCCAGTGGCCAGCAAAAGGCAGCAGGATAACCACTTAAAAGAAAAACAAAAACAAAAACAAAAACCGGTAATTTAGAGGACGTTTATTAAAATGTCTTGGGTTTCAAGTCCAGATTTTGCAGTTTGTGTATATAACAAGTTAAAGAAATATTTCATCTTATTGACTTTTTTTTAAAAAACTGAGTTTACGCATCCATAACAAAGAAAAACAGTGAAAAAAGGGACTTACATAACAAAGAAAAACAGTGAAAATAGGGACTTACCTGTCAACTGAAATAAGTTTCTTTTCCCCACTGTCAGAAGCATAGTTCCAATTTGTTTCAATAATTCCAATGTAATAATGCTTCTCTTTTGCCCAGGCTAAATTATTATATAGAAGTAGAAAAGTGCCAAACAGCAAAATCTTCATTTTTTATCTTCTTGGAGCTTGAGAAGCACTGAAATGAAATCAGAAGCAGGCAAATTTATAAATAAGGCTTTCTTCCTTTATTTGCTTGATTGACACAATTTAATATTGCACAAGAACAAATTGTTTCGTTAAAGTAAATAACATTTTCCACTTCAGTTCAGTTCTCGTAAATCCAGAAAAAAAAGTTTTATGTCGCCAGGCTTCTCTGATTACAGATAAAACGTCAGCAGTTGTTATTGGAGGCCCTAGAGTCTGCATAACTCTGTACTTTCTTCCATTCATTGTGTAATTTCCAGGAGGGCAAGGATCATCTCTAAATATTCCTTTGAGCCTGTGAGGGACAGCGCCCTACACACAGTATAATTTTAATAAATCAGTATGAAAACTTTGCAAAATGAATGAAATTATGTGGCACTTGCAATATCTTTCAACATGTCACTGCAAGTTTAAGATACAAATCATCATATTTACTATGACCAATTTAAGTACTCACAAATAACTTTATTTTGAAGGATTTATCTTTTGAAAGCACTGAACACTTTTGCATAGAAAGTTTAGCAATTTATTCTGTATCACTATCTGTAAATAACCAGTAAAGCATACCAGGAATGCTAATATTGCTTTTAATCCTCCAAATCATCCATAAACCTGACTTCAAAGGCAAAGGTTGATCTCAGTAAATAGAAAGTTTATTAACCTAGGATTTCTCTCTTTGATGTGGACATGAATTTCAGGGTAAAAGATTTTTATTTAAGCATTATCTTTAGTCATGATGTATCTTTTATAAGTTGAAGAAAATCCTAATCATAATGGTGCACATTTTATGCTAACATAAGTTTTTTCTAAAATATCTCAAAGAGTTATGTAAGTCTTTGCCAAAAGTTGTTTATACAAACAGTTTGGTCTAGGACAAGGCACCCTGATGTTTGAGCAATTCATTCATTTAATAGACATTACTTGAGAGGGTGCACTGTGTGCCTGTACTGTTCTAAGCAGCAAGGAGACCACAGTGAATAAAGCAGATGCGAATCCTGCCCTCAGCAACTACTTGGGAGAGACCAACAATAGGCAAATGAAGAGTGAAATACAGAACACTAACAGTGCCCTATGCAGATAAATAAAACTGAGAAGGATAATAATGAATGCTGGGGAATATAGCACAATGAAAATCAAAATCTGGTGGTACCATATGATCTCAGACAAGGCACTAATCTCCAGCCTCAGTTTCTTCATCTATAAAGTCTCAGTCTCAGAGGGTTATTGTCCAGAGTAATTAAAATTAAGGCACAAAGAGGAGAAGCACCTCTCATCAGCTGCCAATAATCTTAACTAACTGTCCCTACAGAGAAAAGTGAATCACAGAGCCTGGGGCATTCCAAACTTCCTTCTAGAACCACCTTAGAAAACTGTGTCCTCATTTCCGTTGAGGGGACGTGAGTGAGGCTAAACTCTTGCCCAGACCCCACTGATCAAGCCCTGTGCCTTATGAGATGCTGTTTCTTTTTAAAAATGAGTGCCTAGAGGGATTCCTTTATCCAAATGGTCCACACAAGAAGATGCCTCTTTTAGACAGTCATCTTCGGAGGGGGCACCTTTGATTTAATGGGCACAAAGTCACTGTGAGTTAAGCAACTTTCCAGACATTTCCTTTTTTTTCTCATTTCTATTCCATACTCCAGCTCTGCCCTGGGGATGGAAAGATTGTAACCAGAGCACAACAATTTCTGAAGTCACTTCTTCGAGCAAATTTTACCCCACAAAACTGCTTAGTTATTGAGGGCTCCAGAATATACAGCCCTCATACTACCTCTCATGGTAACTGAAATGGTTAAAAAGTAAAATTCCCAATTGTGAACGTTTATGGTGTAATGAGGGAAGGGTATTGTTGTGCAACCATCCAGATCAGGCAGGTTCATTATTCGGGCAAGCGGGAAAGAGTCGTGGAGCCCTTGGTACATTTGAGAGGCCGTAAATGCTGAAACAGGGCACCAGGTAGATAGGGAGGCAATCAGGTAGGAAGGCAGACAGTCATGGGGTTCAGGAGGCAGGCAGTAACCAAGCCTCCTGGCTGCTGTGATCTCCATGCTTTTTTTCTGGCTTCTCTTTTCTCTGTCAGTCTTTCAGTCTCTCAGTACCCTTACTATTTTCTCCTCACTCAAGCGCCCACTTCGGCCAGGTGTTCTACATTTATGTAGGCGCATACCGCATGATCTCTGGTTTCTCAGCCCTGGTAGGTGTGCATGCCCTGTACTTGTGCTCCTAAGCACTTTTTGTATTAACACATTATCAGGTGTAGGCAACAAACCTAGGAGGAAAACAAGGATGCAGGTGGCAGCCATATAGACTAGCAGTGGGAGGCAAAAAATAGCCTGTATGACTCCATTTTCCTTATACTCCACCCCCTCCGGGTCCTTTTTTGCAGTATAATCTATGCATCATTCTTCCGCAAGTTTCCCTTGGCAAGGATTGTGGAGCACTATCAATAACCCAGAAAAGCAATACAAACTATAACAGAATGCAACTAAAACTTAAGGTTGAACCCTTTGCACATGGGTTGGGGATCTGTGGATAGCAAACTCCACATGTGGCTTCTGATTCCCACTCCAGCTGTGGTTTGCAGCCACAAGCTATGTAGTACACCCACCCCAGGATGTACTCTGAGATTGGCAAAACACACATTTCATACTCCATTGGGGCTACTCACCCAATCCCCAGGAGCAGTCTCACTGCTGTAACTCTGATACTCCAGGCTCCGTAGCTGTCAATGTAACAAGCAGACCCCTGAACTAAGGCCAACCTTTTCTACATGGCTTGGGGACCAAGCTCTACATGTGGCCTCTGGTCCCTCTACTAAGATCAAAACCCTTTGCAGTAGCCCCTCCTCTCATGGGAGTGAACTGCTAGTCCTCTAGCAATTGTCTCTGTAACTCTAGCAAGTATGCATTGGGACATGCATCTAATTTGGCACAATCTACATCTGCTCTCAGTAGACCCACCCACATTTGGGCACATGTTCCTTTAAGAGGCTTGCTTGCCTTCTTTGGCATCCTTTTCAGTTGCTTAACAACTGCTCAGGACTTCCTGACCTTGACACCAGCTTTTGGCCTTTTGATACATTCTCTGCATGGCTGCAGGGGCCCTGGTAAGGGCTTCCTCCCTCAACCAGTCTTGGGCTTCTCTCAAACATTTCCCTGCCCCTACTCTCACCTGTCCACAGGGGCCTTCGCAACCTGCGCTTTGTCCACTGGAGCTCACTGGTTGGCTGAGCCATCCGCTGTGACCCTGGGTATGCCAGGAAGCATACAAGGCTGCTTTAGGCCACTGAGGCTCACTGGCCACCCCTTTATTTTTGTTTCCTGGAGTAGGCAAATGACACCATCCTCCCCCTGATCACATAGACATAAAAATCTATCAAAGTTCTCTGCCTTCTGGCAGAACTGTTCAAATCTCAGTTTTATCTTTTTGTTACCACTGGGTTAGCTCCAAATGATGGAGAGCAGGCCTTTTTTCCCTGATGAGTCTGCTGCCTCAGGATAGTGGGCTGGTCCTCCCAGGCCATCTCCTCCTCCACACAAGCTCTCAGGGGTTCCTGTCACCTTGTCCTGCAGCTCCCAAACCATGGCACCTCCTGCGCTCCCACAGCATCTTTAGCTCTTCCCACAACTCCTGGACTTTGGCCATAATCTATGCTCCCATGGTGCACCCACTGTTTCCTTTGACTATTTGCAGAGCTGTGAGGGAAAACTCATCTTCCAGTCCCTGTTTCCAAGCAGGCACCAAGTCTATTTAATGTTTCCCCTACTGTTTACTGAGTCCTCTTCACTTGCACTGGGGATCCATGTCTACCTCTTGCCACAAAGAGAGGAGGCTGGCCACTGAGTACTACATGCTCACCGTCTACTATCCCTCAGTCCTTCCTGAAGACTTCGGAGAGCTCCATACCCATCTGTGTCAATTTTTTGCTGACTTACATCACTTTGTGTGTCCTCTGTCTGTCTCCAGTCCTGCTGACTATGCCACTTGTGCAACCATCCCAGGCTGGGCAGGTTCATTGTTGATTGGGGTAAACAGAAAAGAGTCTTGGAGTCCTTGATAAATTTGACAGGTCTTTAATGCTGAAAGAGGGGACCAGGTATACAGGCAGACCAGCAGGTTGGGAGGCAGTCAGGCAGGAAGGCAGGGGTGTCCAGGAGGCAGGCAGCATCGAACATCCCAGCCCCTGCAATCTCTGTGCTTTCTCTCTGGCTTCTCTTCTCTCACTCTCGGTCTCTCTCAGTCTCTTGCTCAATATCCTTTCAATTTCTCCTCCCTAAATTTCCCACTTTGACCTGGTGTCTGCTTTTAAAAATATGCTCATCCCATGCTTTCTGACTTCTTGGCCTTGATAGGTGTGCATGCCCATGCTCACACTCCCAAGTGCTTTTTGCATTAATACATTATCACATGTTAATTCAATGAAACCTAGGTGGAAACCTAGGAGGAAAACAGCACCACAGGTTTCAGCCATAGAGGCTAGTGGGCGATGAGAAAGAGCCTGAGTAACTCCATTTTCTTTATAGGTATGAAGTCCATTTCTGTTCCGTTTTGTGGATAGTTACCCTGAAGTGGAAAATTTCAGGCTGACCTGTTGATGAGCTGAAGCTGGAACATAACCTGTAGACTGAAAGTTTTAGGGAACAACTGATAAGCACCCTCAAGGCCACACACACCCTGATTCATGCATTTTGATGGCTGCACCCCTTGCTTTAGTCAATAAATACTCTGTAACCTAGTTGCTCGGGACTCAGGCTTTGGAGAGAGCTCTCCTCTGGGCCCGCCAGTGTGAAGCCCATGGTGTAAATAAAGAACTTCCCTCCTCTCTGAGTGATGCCTGCTTCCCTGATGGAATTCTGCCATAACATTTTGGTTCTCAGACTGGGAAACTGGCTGTGCTGGCCCATTGTGCCACAGGCCTGGAGTCAGTGCAGTGATTGGTGACTCTCCTTGAAGAGATTGAGGTGGCTTCTCCCATCTTTGTTTGACTGGTCCTCCTTCTTATGGTAGGAGTCAGCTGGCCACTGCTGACGCACCCCTACTAGACTCCGGGGAAAGTTGGACGGAAGTGCAAAAGACTTTGGGATACCATAAGATCTTTGGGGGCCAACCTGAGACAGTCCTGTCCCAACAGACAGAAGGGGAGGCTGATCACCTCCCAGAGCCCAGTTTTTGGGACCAATTAGGACCAGAGCCCAGTTTTGGGACCAGTTAGAAACTCCTGTGGGAGGGAAA